TTGAACCGCCAGCCTTCTGGTTAGCAGTCAAGTGCTTTTAGCCACTATGCTACCAGAGCTCAAAATGTAAGTGTATGTTTAAATCAGCTGTATAGTAGACTCCTTACATAGTTGATACACATTTTACTTTGGTAAAATGTGCTAGGTTGTTTTCCACAGTTTTGTTGGTGGTGCTGTAAAATCAAGTGTTTATTTGCTCTGATATTTCTGCTTTCACTGATCAGATGCAACCCAACCCATTGCCCTCAAGTCGGATCTGACCCATAGCACCCCCTCCTTGGGTTTCCAAGGCAGTATCACTACAGAAGTAGATTGCCCAACCTTCCTTCCAAGGTGTGGCTGGTGAGTTTGAACCACCAGCCTTCTGGTTAGCAGTCAAATGCCTTAGGCACTATGTCACCAGAGCTCCCAACAATATCAGATGCAAAGTGACTTAAAATAGGCTTTTATTTATTTATTTATTTTATCGGAGGGAAATTTATACCTTAAGGATAAATCTTTTTCTTTAAAATGTTTTTGGGAAATACTAGATGAGCTTAACTAGTACTTATATGGATATACTCATAATTGGCTGCTATGCGTGTGACATAGGGTAACGTATTTTTTTAGTAACCCTATGATGAATATACTTGCAATGAATTAACTGTCCTTAGATTTATTTAATTTATTTTTTAGTGCAGTCTTTGTATGGTGGGTTGACTTTAAATATATTTACTTTTCTTCTTTGTATACTAATAACATTACCAAATAATGTATTTCAGGCTTACTTTTTTTTAACTAGGAAATAACCTATTAGTTATATAACATTTAAAGGATTTATGTCATTGAAATTCTGTTTTATGATTTAAAATTACTGGAAATGAAATTTCAATCTGTAAGTTCTGTAGTGTTCTTCCACATGGTTTTCCAACAGTACTTTGTTTAAGTAGTGACACCTTGGACTGTTAGAAAAATAAAGTAAAACGTATTCCATATAGAGTGGCTTTCTGGAGAGCAAGGTTCTAGTCACGTTTGTCTGACCTCCCTTTTATGCTATCACCTACTGTAAGTAGTTGAAACATGCCTCCAGAAAATAGTCATGTTCAATGAATTTTTAAATGCCCTGCTTGTATTTGAAAGAGCTGGTGGTGCAATGGTTAAAGCATTCAACGGCTAACCAAAAGGTTGGCAGTTCAAACCCACCAGCTGCTCCACAGGACAAAGATGAAGCAAAGTGCTTCTGTAAAGATTTACAGGCTTGGAAACCCTGTGGGGCAGTTCTGTTCTGTCCTACAAGATCCTACAAGTTGGAGTCAACTCAGTGGCAGTGTATAGTTGTATTTGAGAGTTATGCTTTATTAGAAGGAAATTTTCAAAGGATGTAACAATAGATGAGAATAATAGAATCCATTTTATAAATTATTTCTAGTTTTATAGAGTTTCAGCTTCCTCAAAGCCAGTTACATTTTTTTATGAAAGGTTCATTCACTTCAGTCCTATAGGTCTGAGGCTAGATTTCTAATTTTAAAATAACCTTTAGGGTTTAGCTTTCATAATAATTTGAATAGAAAATAATTTTGCAGAAAAATATAATTTAGGAAAACAGATCCCACAAGGTTTAGAAAATTCAAACGATTTTTCCCTTGAAGAATAAAATAATTTAATTGTTGAGAATAAAAAGAAGGAAAACTCATGAATCAAATATAATATCGATACCAAAACCTTCCAAAAAAAGGAAAAAGCTCTAGTGACCAGTCTCAATAAATAATGATTTAAAAATTCTAAATATAATATTAACAGACATAACCCAGTAGCATAATAAAAGAATAACACATTATTTACAAGTAGAGTTTTTTCCAGAATAGTAAACAGTGTTCACTGTTAAGTAATCTATTAAAATAAGGCATTATGTAAATAGATCTCAAGGAGAAAAGCTACATGATAATCTTCAGAAATGTTGTAAAGGCATTTGACCAAATTCAAAATCAGTTATTTTTTTAATATTCAATAAAATAGGAAGATGAATAATTCCTTGCTATGATGTGGGTATAGTTGTGCATGCACACTTCAGTATGAAAGCAGCATCAAGCATAGTGGGAAGCGTGCATTGCATTCCAGTGAAGTCAGGAATAAGACAGTTATGTCCACTAGCAGTGCTGCTGCATCAACCCCACGATCAGGTGTGGATGGGACTGTTGTGATCTCTAAGGTTTTCACTGACTGATTTGCAAAAGTAGAACTCCAAATCTTTCTTCCTAGGAGTATCTCAGTTAACACTAACTATTGTTACTGCATGTTTTGTACATTGTAGGATGAGCTCTATGGCAGAGTAATGCAAACACTTGGGAAATACACTATCCAAACTTCTTTGCCCAGAATTTCACAGCAAACAATTAAAAGTTGTTTGTATAGGAAGCTCTGTTGACAAATCAGAGTCCAGGAAATGTCACTCACTGGTTTTTGTTTTTAAAAATTTTTTAGTTCAGAACAAACTGTGGCAGATTTTTCCACAAGCAAATTTATCAGTGCAGAGTTGCATTAATTACTTCGAATGTACTGAAAATAATTATATTTATTTTTTATGTAAGTACCAGATATTTAAATGAGAAAAAATACATTTTTTCATTTTCCAGGTGCTGTGGCCATTCTGATTCCTCGTTTAGACATCGTGATTTCTCTTGTTGGCGCCGTGAGCAGCAGTACATTGGCTCTGATTCTGCCGCCTGTGGTTGAAATTTTTACGTTTTCAAAGGAACATTACAATATATGGATGATCCTAAAAAATATTTCTATAGCATTCATTGGAGTTGTTGGTTTCCTATTAGGTACCTATGTAACTGTAGAAGAAATTATCTATCCAGCTCCCAAAGTCATAGCTAACACTGCGCAAACTCTCTCTTTAAATTCAAATACAACGTGTTTGACACCTGGTTTGAAATAGTGGAAGCAGAATTATGAGTCTTTTACTTCTGTCTAAATTTGGAAAATTAAATTAGGAAAATGCATTGTCATATACTTAAAAATAGAACCAAACCCTGCTTTCTTGTGGTACAATATTAGTATTTTGGCAGTAAATTATAATTCTTTGCCATTCGTGATAGATCCTTTAAGTATTAGCAATAATTTTTTAAGAAATTTAATTTTGAAAATTGAAAAAACTAAAAGTAAAATATAAAAAATAAAGAATAGAAGACTTCTGTTATTATCCTCAATCAGAAATACTTCAATGAAAATTTCTCCCTTTTACCCCACTGCTATTCTTCTGCCAACCAGTTAAGGAGAGAACAGGGTTTTAATAAGAATTATATGACACAGGTAACAAAAATCTTTCTCCAGACCATCTCAGTGAATGTCAAAGTAAACTTACTGTATAATTTTGAAATATCTTGGTTGTATTTTTACTAGCCAGCTACTTATGATTAGGTCCTGGAAGTATAGAAAATCCTCTTTAATCTGAACATGAGCATCAGAAAATTCCAAAAACCAGAATTATTTTTACACTGTTCTGTAATGGTAATTAATCTTCATAATAATAGTCAAGAGGCACCGTGCAAGATTCTAACATAGTGTTTCAGTCAGTTTTGAAAAGGACTTTATTGGTTATATGATACAACTTCCTTATTTTTTAGGATATTGAGGCCTAGGAAGGTTAAGCAACTCAAGGTCACGCAGCTTGACTTCCATTCCAGCGTTTTTATTTTTCACATTACATCTCAGAAAAAGAATAAGTTAAATTCAGTTTAATTTTAATGCTTAGTCTATTTAATTATATTTTAATACTTTGAAAGTAGGAACTCTAAGAAGCCTGCATTTTGGCCATATGATGAACCTTAACAAGGGAAAGAAGCTATGCTCTTTCTAAACAACTTTCAGGCCATTTGCTTGTGAAACTGCTGGACAGAATGTGCATAGTTACACTATTTGTGGCTTGAGCTTTCCTTATTGTTTCTTCCTTTTTCTAGATTCTGTAGGTACCTTCTGCCTTAATGGCTAGAATCACTAACGAAATACAGGTTTTATGGTTCTTGAGCCTGAGGTGTTTCCAGCCCTGTGATTTTCCCTATCAGAGCCTTTTATTGAACTGATGGGCAAAATAAAAGAACCATAAAGGGATTCATGTTTAGGAAAAATCAAGACAGTAACTGTCTGCTAAATACCAAGATAGTCTTCCCCCAGAGCAATACCTCTAGTACTCCATATTCTTCAAACCCAGTTATCAACACAAATAATCTCAATTAACATGAGAAGTTAAAATTGTTCAATTTAAAATAGTAAGAATAGGAGTTTTTCCTGATAATTTTATGCTTAACTTAAAATATTTTGAACTTTTTAATCACACTGGTATCACTCGTAATTTATAATACATACTTCAAGATACCATCAAGATCACTGTAGTACATGTATTCTGTATTTTATGTTTTGTAAATGATGACAGCTCAAGTATTTTTTGCTTACGCCATTAACTGGTCAGAGTACAGTCCTAAAAATATGTAGGAGGGTTTATTTTGGTACATTTTTTTAAGCATTTACATTAGGTATCACAAATAATACTTTGTGATACTTTTAATGTTTTGTTTGTTACCTTGAGCCTTTAGTCATATTAAGAGGATATGGAAGAAGTTATAGAAAAAATAAACTTTATTTAAATTAATGCTATATAGTCTTGAATTTAAGAAAAAATTAGGTATTTTTAAGGTTTTATAACATAAAATGACTTGAAAACCACTGTTCAATAAAAAGTAATATTAGATTTTTATCATTTCTCTGCAGATTATATTTCTAGGTCATATGTGTTATTTTATTTTCATATGTTAATGTGAGGTTTATTTTCATTATGGAATTCATAAAATGCAATAAAACTTTGAATAGCTGATCATAGCAGTAAATTATTTTTTAATTCAACATAAACAAATGTTGAGCATATTATCAGCTAGGCTTCCTTATGCAGTGAATGTCTGCTGAGTTGACAGCCAGTACTAAATTTACTAAATCACCCATGCGTTAAATACAGCAAAAAAGTTGAAATGCAGAAAGAACAACTAAAAGGAAGAAAATAGTTTTAATTCTTAACAAGAAACTATTTAAATGTGAAGTATAAATACAGTCTCATCTAAACATGCTTTAATACATTGTATTTGCAAAAATCAGTAAAAATTTTTCTTTGAAAATTTAATTTTAATGGGTCATAAATTTTTTTAAAAAAATTTGAAAACTATATTTTCATTAGACCAGCTATTGCTTTTATTTGGGGGCCTGGAAAAAATGAAAGTGATTGCACCTGCTGAACTCGTGGCTTCTGTCTTTGGTCTCTCACATTGTAGCTAAAATGACTTCAGCGTTTCATTTGCTACCACACTGAAGGATGCTTTTCTCTGAAAGTTGATCAGTTGTTTGAGAGCCTTTTTCAGTACTGAGGGGGATGGAGAGAACCCTTGCTTTACTTATGATTAGCTCTGCTAAGTTAGTTTCCAGAAGCTCTTCACCAGTATAGAGCCACTTTGTCAAACACTGGTTTGACATTTTTCATTGGGAGAGCTTTTCCTCACATTGCTAGATTATTTAAAGAAATAAGAACTAGGGTTTTTTCCTGGCTAAAGCCCAATTTGGATTGTGTTACCAAATAAAACATGTACTACACTAGCAAATGCCACATTGTGTTTCAATTTTGTCCTCACTGGATTCTTTATCAAAGCCATTTATGCCTCTTAACTAGATGATGCACTTATATTTCCACAAGTATTTTATGATACTCATGTTGTAAATTTCTTGACAAGTCTTAATTTCATTCAGTATTTTCATAATAGTTGCATAAAAGCTCTCTAACTGCAAAACACTATAGAAACATTAATTGAAAAATTAATTGAAGTTCTATGTTAGAGCTATTTTTAGCTGTGGCAATGCACAGGCCTTAATATAGCTTACCAGTGCTTATTCTCCATCACTGCCACCAGTACAGCATCTGAGTAGGGCATTTGTTTACTGACAGTACATACCCAAAGTAGCTCTTGACCTTACTTCACCTTTCCTCATTTAAAAGGGAGAAGACACAGGATAGAACTGATGGAAATAATAAAATAATTTCAATTTAAATAATACCAATGGCTTAAATATTATCCGTTGAGAAATAATGGGGTAAAAATATAGACCACTGATGATATAATGATGAGTTTAAAAAAAAAAAAAAGTCTTTTGGTCTTTTTGGCTTGACTATCTTAACAAAAATTTGAAAACTTAAATCTAGAAGGTAGAATAAGATACTTCCTAACATTAAATGGCTGGCTGTGATAACACTTTAGCAAAATTTCTACCTACTTCTTAAGCATGTTTGCTTGTCTCCTAGGTCAAAACCAACCACTTTCAGAAAGCTGCTTTAGCCTAGTGAGTTCCACTGGCATAAACAAGATCAATCATAGAATTTCCTTAATAACAAATAGGAAAATACATGCTTATTACTTGAATAAATTAAACTGTAGATTTTTATGTTTTTCAAAGTTCCTTCATTAGTGTGAATGGAAACTATCATTGCATTTGTGCTTATTTTTAGCTTATTTATAACAATATAAAAAATACTGTCTTAAAGTCCTATAACTTCTGAATTTTCAGTAAAAGCAATTTACTTGCTAATGCTTTTTAAAAATTGTCCTTTCTAAGGTTAATGCCATTGACAAGTGTCATAAGCCAAAATGGCACTGGTGTAATATTCTCACAATAACATTTTAATCAGTATATTAATTCTTTGCCATATTCATCCTTTGAAATTGGTATTATTCATCTCAAAAATTTAAAAACAAGTTTATTTTAAATAAAAATGACACACACAAACCATGACCTGAACTTAATGAATGCAGTTTGCAAATGCTTCATCCATGGTTTGTTTACCACGTATGGTCAGCAATGTTTACTAATCATACTTAGGTAATACTCTTTGCTTGAATTATAAAATTCGAATAATACTTGTGGAAACCATTATAACAATCCCATATCAAAGACCATGAAGATATTCATACTTTATTCGTCCTGCTCTTGTGAACTGAACAGGACATACCATAGTTCATAAGATCATGTCACTCTCTTCATAGAGAAATTCTCTATGCCTGAAGGTGCATCTGTAACATTATGTTTTAATAGCGAAAAATTGGAAGCAACCAATATGTTTAACAAAAAGCTAATAAAAAAAAATTGTCTCAATCTAGAATTCAATGAAGATTATACTAATTATACTAATGTTATATCGAAGACTGACACTTTAGGAAAGAAAAAATATGTTAAAATGTTTAACATTGCAGCTCTGTAAAAATAAGGTTTTAGATCCAGACGGGGATATACAGCAATGAAACCATAGGGTTAGGATAAAAAACTGGGTTTTACTATTTTTAAATGTATCAGAGGAGGGCTGTGAGAGGAGTAAAGAGAAATAGGATGTTGAGAGGAGGCTGTGGGTGGTGCAACAGCAGTTACATGCTCAGCTGCTAACTGAAAAGTTGGAGGTTCAGTTCTACCCAGAGGCTCCTCTCAAAGGTGGTGTCAGTAGAGGGCTGCAAAGCACACCTCTTGACACTGTCAGAGGAAGTGACATCAAAATGACCCTAGGCGCCCTGGTGGTGGCAGTGGGTGGGCTGATGCTGTAGGGATGGGGTGGTTGCCAAGGCAGTGACACTACTAGGGTTGGTGTCACCCATCACCATCACTACCTACCTTCACCTGCCAGTCAGGGTGCTGCCCTGTGGAGAGAAGGGTCTCCAACTTGGTCAGTGGGAGAGAGGAGCTGCCTGGAGCTGTGGTGGTGGAAGTGGGAGGAGCAGGGCTGTGGCATGTTCCAGGTTTTCCCTGCAAAGGTGGGCTTGTTTGAATTCTTGAAATGGTGAGAAGGAATCAGGTCCTTTGGTTTGCAGTTTTCTGGTGCCATGAAGCATGAAGCTACCTGGTACTGGATGATAGGATGCCTTCTCAAGCCAAAGCTAATATGTTAGCATGCTGAGGAATTGAATAATTTAGTTATCGCTCCTGGGTTTTGATTTGGGCTAAAGATGGGAACTGCACAATTAACACCCAACCTGCACTGAGTGGGAACAAAAGGTAATCTGGGTGTGAATCAAGGTTGAATAAGTCAGGAGTAAAATAGGGAAGTAGACAAAAAAACAACAAAACTACTAGGAGT